GTCCTCATAGAAATAAATAAATAAAGGGATAATGTATAACCAGGCGGTTGTTATTGAAAACAACCCCGCAAACTCTAAAGCAGAGGGGTCTTGATCAGCCGGTTGTATTCGCTGTAACAACCGCCTTGCTATACATTTTCCCACTTATAACATGGCTACCTACCAAATAAATCAATAATTTGACACAAAATATTGATTTAAAAAGGAGTTTATTCATTCAAAAATGATTATATTACCGGAGTTAACAGAACTACCTCCATAGCAACATGATCTAACGTTAGCTGTTAAAACACATGCAATTGTAAAATATGTGACCAACAAAAAAGGCTATGAAGTAAAAATTAAAAAGTTAATCACCAGTAAAAGGGAACAGCTTTAAATCCCCTAAGCAAATTTGAGCCGATATGCAAATAGTTTAACAAACATTAAATAAATGGCTAAACTGAAATTATACTTGCTTACATTTAAAAGCATATTGCCGTTATCACTCCGACTCTGCTAACGGTCGACATTTTTTTTATTTTTTGAACAAGATAGCAAAGCTGCGCATAGGATTGTGGGTGATTTAAGAGCGCGAAGGCTACACATATGCATCCTTTCCTGTGTATGGGATATTTTCCGAACGAAGGACTCAGTCCTTGGTTGAAATTCTGAGGATCCTTGACATTGGAACAGTCCTTCGACGGACGTCGATGACGTAGCATCCTCGAAATTCCGGCTTCCGAGGATCCTTCCTTGACATTGAGAAACGTCTATTGGTTTCTCACAGTGGATTTGAACCCAGGTCTCTCACACCAAAGGCATGTGTCTTATCCACTGCACCATCCCCACCCCACATCAGTGTCTGGTCCCAGTGGGAAGTCAATGGGACCAGAAACTGTCTGGTTAATGATATTATATCAGAAAATCGGCTGAATGGATTCAGAAATGGTAAAACCCTACTGTTAACTCTGGGGGAGTTGTAAAATGAGCCTATTTCAAAAAAAAAAAAAAAAAAAGTGAAGTATCACTTTAAATTCTTGAACATTAAATATATTTGCAACACATGTTGGTTTTGTTCTGTTTGCCCTGCTGCTCTCCCGACTCGCTGCTTCTTGCCCAGAACAGAACCACACCGCCAATCCAAGCTGTATGCTAATGCCAATCATCTTTGACGATATATTTGGGTCAATTTACTAACAAAAAAAAGTATTTGTCAAATGTATAGTTAAAAAACTAAACCACCCGCAATATTTAAAAGAGATCCACCAATAAAAGAAAACGCTTTTACTAAATAAATTTTACATAGCTCAGCAGCAACCACCCCTCCAATGAAACATTGCAAATGAAAAATAAAATTCCTAATTTTGGATTATTTATTTATTTTATTATTCATTCATTTATGTACGAATTATTAAATATTTTTTAAACTATATCTTTTTTTCTTTCTTTTTTTATGGTAGGTGAGGCAGAATTATGACTGACAAAGTTGTTAGTAATCTAAATCAAATTAATTTCATGATTAACAAAATTAAAATCAGGATCAAAATCAGACTCATAATGAATAACAAATGTTTGGCGCTCTGAATATCTTCTGGAAAGTTGTGTTTAGCAAAATCATATCAGTCTTACTCTGATCCATTGTGTAAAATGACTGGGTAATGAGAAGTCAGCACATGCAGGTCATCGCTAATGAGCATGTTTGTAATGTCCCTGCTTTGTTTTTCACGTGGATTGATTATGTACTAATGAACAAAAAGTGATCACTGTCCTGAGAAAGCCTCTCTCGGGTTTCACTGGGCTGTGTGTGTGTGTGTGTGTGTGTGAGAGAGAGAGAGAGAGAGAGAGGGGGGGGGGGGGGTCTCAGCCACTGTCCTTGGCTGAAACAGAGAGAGAGAGAGACTCTCTAGTTACTCACAGGTGGCAGACCAGCCCTGCTACTCCTGCTCAGACTGAGGTGGGACTCTGGAGTCATGGAAGGTCAGGTGTCCAGACTGAGTTACAGCCCTGACAGCTGGCTGCTCATAGATTGATGGGTTTCTTTTTTGATGAAGAAAGTACGAATGTATGATGATGCAAAATTATACAAAATGGGGCAGTTAAAAACCATTTTAATCCCAACAACTTAGCCACAGACAGATCATATTATTGGAGAGGAGAAAGGATGAAAAAGGACCATTAAAAACACTGGTGGTTCGGGGGAAAATCTTGAAAATTATAACTTAAAAAGACCACTTTAAATGTATTATTAGCCACTGAATTAGCTTCAGCAACCACAAGGTCAAGGTTGTCTTGCATTCACTCTCACATCAGGTGTGCTCAATCAGTTGATGTTCTCTGGAATGAAAAGTTTGTTGTACTGTTCATATTTCACAAACAATAGTAGCCCTGTCCTGATCTACCACTGTCCCGAACCCAAACCATTCTCTTTAAAGTAACATGAGTCATATAATAGACATGTGATGTAGTACCAGCACCTGTCCATTGCAATGTAAAATGATACTAGGCCTCCAGCCACTTTTGTCTAGCGTGATATTGACTCTGAACATGACCCTGTTAGAAAAGACTTGTGTGATTGCATGAAGCCCTATAGTGTCACCTGACTGCACACTAGTCTCACTCGTTCATAATCTATTTTTGAAAAAATGGAAATGGTCACCATTTTTTCATTACTCACTTATCGTGGGTATGTATGTGCACTCTAATTTTGTACTGACTTTGTGCAGTTGTTGATTTGTCACCAATTAGTCAAATAAATCCAATAAAGAGAGTGACGCAAAATGAACAAGGATCACAGAGAACAGCACCGAACAGACAACTTAGAACTTAGTTCATCATTGCACATCTGCAAAACTAATATCATAACAGTCCAGTGTAAGTAAGTTCAATGATGTTTAATTTTTGTTTTAAAAAAGTTATTAATTTAGTTAATTTTTGTGTGTGTGTATATATATATGAAGAGTTCAGATGCAAAAGCCTCTAAATGCCATTTGAAATTTTCTTCTTTAATGATGATTTTTAGCAAACTTGTATATTTAAGTTCAGTAATTTCACCTAAATGGCAATGCTAATTACCTATTAATTGTTATTTAAGTGAAATTACTGAACTTAAATATACAAGTTTGATAAAAATCATCATTAAAGAAGAAAATTTCAAATGGCATTTAGAGGCTTTTGCATCTGAACTCTTCATATATATATATATATAAACTAAATTAAACTAAATGAACTAAACTTAATAACATATATACTGTAAGTATATGGAGTAAACCGTAATATCATCATCCAGCTCAGTTCATTGCTTGTATAGAGAGCCTAAGTCCCTCCCCTTCCGGTCGACCACCATGGGACTTTATTTCGGAAAAATATGGGCTATATGCACGCATAAGTTCCGCATTTGACGCAAGGATGCTCGTCCATTTCCGGTTGTGGAGATTTAAGTGGAGGAAATCCAAGGAAAACGGGATTATGGCAGAGTCTTCAATTGCATTGGACTCTACGATCGGCGAAAGTTATCGAGCATCCTTACACCTTCACCGGAAATACCGCCGTGCATAGAGCCCATTGTATGGTAGTCAATGGCGAGAGACAACAAATATTTTGATCTCGTTTGAATTGGGCCCTGAATTGCACATATGATGTTTGTCAATTTAAAAGATACATTTTTAAGTACAGAAAGTCGCAGTTGGATGTGGAACCATTGTGAAAATACGTACTTACAAGGACTACAAACCCCAAAAGCGCTTAGGCCTACGTTATAATAGTCGTACGTTATAATCGTAACGTTACGCCGTCATGCCTTAGTGATTTGTACCAGACTGCACACACACGAGCAGCGGATCTCGCCCGTTGTTTCGCTACTCGGGAGATGTAGTTCATTGAGCGATTTTCACATAAAACTAAAAGTTACTCTTCTGTTTTATGACAAACGGCGACGTTTTTGACTTTCAGAATTATCTTTTAAATTGACAAACATCATATGTGTAATTCAGGGCACAGTTCAGACGGGATAAAAAAATAAGTTGTCTCTCGCCATTGACTACCACACATATTTTTTCCGAAATAAGGTCCCATGAGCCGGAAGCGGAGGGGCGGGACTTAGGCTCTCTAGTGTCAGGCAGATCAATATTATTACCAGCTGTATTCGTTTATATGTATGCAGGGCAACCACCCATAAGAGCATTACAAAAATCTAGCCTTGAGGTCATGAACGCATTAACTAGCTGTTCCACATTTTTTATTTAGGTATATTTTTAAGATGGAAGAATGCGGTTTTGAAGACTTGACAGAGCAGCCATCAAGTGTTCTAGGTTAGTATGTGGGACAATCATTAGAAACTGTTTTTTTTTTTTTTTTTTTTTTTTTTTTTTTCAGGCTTCTCAGTAATTCTTAAGACATAACTATAGTATATATAATACTATATAATATATAAAGTAAGGTAATTGTCTCGTTTTAGCCAGGTTTCTGTCAGTTTCTGCTGTAATGATGAGTTTTATGTACTGGTGACCACTTGGGCTACCCTGTCTTCATTTCTTTCCACCTTGATTATGTTGCACCGATGTTCATGCTCATTTATTAATAAATTCATATCAAACTCATTTTTGTTTTGTCTTTGATGGTTACACTGTCTTCTGGTTTCAGACCCTTTCTGCTTCAGCCGCACAGGTACTGATTCTACCATTGTTCTGTTGTCTGATTTTAGCTTTTTCGCACCAGCAAACAATACTATGCTACTACCATATGGCTGGATGTTTAGTGAAACAGTGCGGGTCACGTCATTTCCACATGGTGAAATACATTTTGAGGGGGTGACCCACACCATTTAAAATTAAAATACTTTTTATAGAAAACTACCATCAGTACAGTCTTCAGCATTAATGTGTACAGCTTTTTAATTGAGCACCAAACTACTGAATGCACCGTTAAACATTTTGCATTAAATTAGAAAAATTGGAAATAGATGCATTTTTTACTCAGAATTTGGACCACACAGTAGATATATATTGTAGATTAAATGAATTTATTAGATAAAGACATAAATATAGGCCTACACAACACAACCCACATGTACATTCTCATTAATGTCAGCAGAAATATTCAAGACCTCAACAATAGGGTCAAGCTATATAGGGTCAAGGAAATAATAGGGATGAGGGATCCCAATTACGTCGTCACGTCGACATTACGTCTCCCGTTTGTAACCGAGACATTTTATTGTGTGACAATGATCTCTTTGTTCAGGCTGAATGAGTTATTGGAATGTGAGAGTCATCACAAAGATTTGTTCAATACATGGGCAGCCACACAGTCAGCTCATGACATAACAGAGATTGCAGATATAGATTTTTTTATTTAAATTGAATCAATATTAATATTTCAATGTCATATCTTACAAATCGTGTTAAAATTTATACACATTTCCTTTACCCTTTTACAAATATTCAGCATAAACCGTTGTTTTGAACTTACTTCAATGTTAAAACAACAACTGACATTATTTCAAACACATTTTAACAAGGTCAGTCGCATACCTGCTGGCAACATCCTGCTTTCAAAAGAATGGGAAATATTACAAGATGGAATATTTGTCGGAATGTCAGACAAAAGAGAGGGCAAAGTTCATGGTATGTTGCGAAAAAGGAGGTCATAGGCCCAGTCCACTTTGCCCTTAGTGCTGAGCCGTTGACCTCTGTGCCATGTGGGCTCATGCACACCTGGTCCGGGAGTTCCCTGTCAAAAAAATATAGAAAAGGTAGCAAAATAGCAAAGGTTTGAGACTTTTGGCCCCATTTTACTTTATAGCATGCACATTCATCCCATTTATGATAATCAATACACTGATTTTGGTGTTGTAAGACTTAATGTAGGGTTGTACAGCTTGTTATCGAACAGGGATAGAAATGGTGCTCACCGAATGCACACTGTACAGCCGTGGTACTGTAGACCTAAAGCAGGAAGTGATTGCAATGCCTGTGCTTGGCCTTGGATTGTAATGTCCAGGCGCTGGTCCCTCCTTCTAAATCCATTAATGGAAGTCAAGTCAACAAAAGTACATTTCAAATTTAATTTCATTAACCATTGATGGAATAGTTCACCCCAAAATTTTCAAATGAACTTCTTTTATGAATCTTTCATGGACCTTATTAATTTAAATCGCAATCCACTTCCAGGGACAATCTGATAAACTTGCCCTTTTGTGTTCCACGGCCTGAAATATTCCTTTAGATTGGAAGATCAAAAAATCTAATTAGAGTTCTCCAAAAAAAAGCACTTCATCAACCTGTGCTTGACTCTATGTTCACAGATATAGGTCTATGTGCTTTCAAAGCCATAGCTTTTTTTAAAAAGAGAGATTTCACTGCTCAGCGCCTGTGCTACAGAAGCTGTCTGCTATCATTACATGCCATTTGATCCCACCGGTAGCCTCATTTGATCCAGCTGGCCTGTTCAGTGGTGTGTGTGGCGGGTTGAAATGTGCCGGAGGTGTTAATGCTGGCTGCAGTGGAACTCACTTCTCTCTGCCTGCTTGCTCATGATGTCAGCTTCCGTTGGTTTTAAAGGCATCTGGCCGTTGCGCCCTTCTACGGGACGGCCAGCCAGCTCGGCATTCCCCTGAACAAGAGCGGATAGCTGTGCCATACTACACATGTCTGAAGAGGCACTGACCTATTATTTCATTAAGGGACTCCTGTCCAGAAAAGCCATATTCAACACCTTCCAAAACAAGTCACTCACAACTCAATAAAGAAAATATTAATATCAAAAAAGCTTTCTCTGTATTTTTAAATGCCTTAAAGGGATAGTTCACTTTGAAATTAATCTTTGATGTCTTTTTAGCTTACCTCAAGGGCATCAAAAATGTAGGTGTCTTTGTTTCCACAGTATTTTCATATTCGTATTTCGTATTTTGATATTTTTAGGTCAAACCGTTCTTGTCTGTCAGTCATATAATGGAGGTTAATGGGGTCCACCCTGGGTCCACCTCAAAGAACATGGACAGAGAAGTATAATTAAGTATGTTTCAACAAAATGCTGTGGAAACAAAGACACCTAGATCTTGGATGCCCTTGGCTTGAGGTAAGCTAAAACCAACACATTCTCATCCTTTAGCGTCATATAGGTGACGCCATATGACATTTCGTCGAAATACTATGCACATGGCACCCTTATGCGGCAATATATCACGCACTATTATAGGTAGGTTTGTAGGGTCTGTGTCTCATATTGATGCTAAAGGATGCCACTCACCTGTATGATGCCTTGGGTTCTGTGTGTTATATTGACGCTAAAGGGTGCCATGTGCCTAGTATTTTGATGAAATGTCACATGGCGTCACCTATATGATGCCAAAGGATGAAAACAGGCTCGCTGAAACATATCAAAAGTTAATTTCAAAGTGAACTATCCCTTTAAGGTGAAAGTGAAAACTACCCAGGAATGAAAGATCTCAAATGTCTCTTCTTGAGTTTCAGATAAAAGATATCAAACTGTGCTCACTGCTCAGAATTGCCTGGATACCGGAGTTCTTAATATTACCTTAAACATATCTCATCAAATAATCTTAACTATGTGATCCACATTCATTTTATAGCTTTATATGCTTTACAGGTGAGTGAATCATTAAAACAAGTGATTGTTCAAAAACGCAGATTTATCCACAAACAAAAGAGGTATAGGCCTCTTTATTAGGTACACCGTACTAGAACCAGGTTGAACCCCTTTTTTTGCCTTAAGAACGGCCTTCATTCTTCATAGCATAGACTAAACAAGGTGCTGGAAATGATTTTGGTCAAATTGACAGAATAGGAACATGCAGTTGCTCCAGATTTGTCAGCTGCACATCCATGATGTGAATCTCCCGTTCCACCACATCCCAAAGGTTCTCTATCTATTGTATTGAGATCTGGACTGTAGAGGGCATTTGATTTTGTACTAAGGGGCCCAAAGTGTGCCAAGAAAATATCCTTCACACCATTACATTAGCACCAGCCTGAACCATTGATACAGGATTGATCCATTACATGTTGTTTATGCCAAATTCTGATCCTAACATCTGAATGTTGCAGCAGGAATCGAGACCAATGAGACCAGGCAGCATTTTTTGAATATTCTATTATCCAATGTTGGTGAACCTGTGTGAATTGTAGGCTGTTCTTACCCGTACGAATAATAAGTATACTTCAAGTTCATTTTATTAAGTATATAATAAAGTATATAATACTTTATGTAGTAAAGTTTACGTATACTACGGTAATACCAATGTACTAGACGTTTTAGTACACTGATATTAGAAGTAAACTTGTAAGTGAGCCTACTTTTTCAATAGAGGGAATGCATTGACACGTGACTTTCCCGCGTGACAACCCCCCTCAGCCTGACCGAGTGGCAAAAGATCTGCTGCGTGACTGGATTTAATAGGGGAAAACTGCGGAAATGCGACTAAATCGAACAATTTTATCAATTTAAACTAGATTTGGACTCAATATAGTGTTCCTCACAACTTACTAAAGATCCAGTGATCCATGGATATTGACATGCAGCCAGGAATCGTGTTGCCTGACATTTATGTTTGCCTGATTTCGACACCGGGGAAATAAAAGCAAGACCTAAACATAAAGCAAATTTGCCTGTGAACACTTTATATAATATAGGTAGGTCTAAATCCGGGTGATCACTTATATCAGTGTTATATATAGCCTATATATATCATCATATCGTCCAGCCCTAAAACTTTATAAGTTTTTTTGGTCAGTGTTTATAAAAAAAAAAAAAAAAACATCCAATAATGCAAAATATGCAATGATAAATATTTAATTGATGAGCTGTTAATGTATATAACAATACAATGGTTTTATAGCTAAATTCAGCATATTGACACAAAATGATAACTGCAAATCCACCTTTCGCTGACTGGAGTCTAGTTGTTTCTGTGAATTGCTACGATCCATTTGCTCCTCTTTCCATAGCAGTCTGTAAAAATATATCTCGGATTTTTTGTCAAATCTAGTTGTAGGCCTACAGTCAATCGCAAAGCTCTTTCCCACTTTATTTGTGTGTGTTGTGTTTGTTTTTCGCGGCATTCACGCTGAACACATATACAGCCGCTCAGTCTTTTTGCCACTCACTGTGAGGAACTGCAGGCACTCCGGCCGACGGTGACGTCACGCGCATTCCCTCTATACTACTTTTACTTTTTAGCATATAAAACCTGGTGTTCTTCTACTGCTGTAGCCCATCTGCTTCTAGGTTTGGAGTGTTTTGCTGTTCTGCGTACCTCAGTTGTAACGAGTGGTTATTTGAGTTACTGTTGCCTTTCTATCAGCTCTAACCAGTCTGGAAATTCTCCTCTGACCTCTAGTATCAACAGGGCATTTTCACCCACAGAGCTGACACTCACTGGGTACACTCTAAAAAATGCTGGGTTGTTTTAACCCAACTTTGGGTCAAATATGGACTAACCCAGCCGTTGGGTTAAATTTTTACATTACATTTTTAACCCAACATTTCGGGTTTGTCCATATTTGACCCAAAATTGGGTTAAAACAACCCAGCATTTTTTAGAGTGTATTTCCTCTTTTTTGGACCATCCTCTGTAAACCCTAGAGATGGCTGTGTGTAAAAATATCAGCAGTTTCTGAAATATTCTGACCAGCCTGTCTGGCACCATGCATGCCATTTTCAAAGTTACTTATAAATCACATTTCTTTCACGGTCTGATGCTGAAGATTGTCTTGACCATGCCTAAATGTATTGAGTTGCTGCCATCTGTTAAGCTGATTAGATACTGTATTTGCATTAAAGAGCAATTGAACAGGTGTACCTAATAAGTGGCTGGTGCATCGGGTCAGAGGTCACTCTTCCACCAGAACTCAACTCACGTTTGGCTGGTGCCAGCCAGTGATTATAGTTTAAGAAATTATAAATATGGATATTTTTCTTTTCAGAAACGCATGACTTTGCTTCAGAAAGCCTTAATTAAGCCGTATGGATTACTTTTATGATGGATGGATGCGCTTTTTGGAGCTTCAAAATCACAGGCTCTATTCACTCCCATTATAAAGCCAGGATTTTTTTTTATATATACTGTATATATTGGATTGTGTTTGGCTGAAAAAAAGAAAGTCATATACACCTAGGATGCCTTGAGGGTGAGTAAATTAAGGGATAATTTAAATTTTTGGGTGAACTAACCAAAAGTGTTTGTGTTAAGTGTTACCATTTACTCATTAATAGCTAATTCTCAACAGTTGCATAAAATAAATATCACACTTGATACAAGTGGAAATTGGAACCAGGCTGGCCCATTTGTCCTTGTGGTTCCACTCACACAACATTATTTCTGACTGAAAATATTTAGCATGTTGGATATTTACAATTTGAGATTCGACCAGATTCATTGACTCTTAACACAGATCACACCACAGGGAAATATAATGAGATAAGATAATCAAGATAATCTGGACTTCACCTTGGATTGTCAGAAGGGGAGTATTGGGACCAACATCGTCCTAATTATTATTTTAGTGAGTGCCTTTACCATTCTTATAGTCGTTCAGCCAAACGGTGAAAAAGCCCCTTTTGTTGTGTTCTGAACAACTTTAAAGTCTGGTAGTGTGTTATCCTCAGTCATTTAGCGTATGGTGCCCAGTTTTTCTCTATAACCATTTAAGTTGGGAAGTGTATGATGCCATAGTGTTTTAAAATCTGTTTAGTCTTGTTTGTATTCCAGCCTTAAACTATGGAAGTTCAACCTCTGAGTTATATAATTTGCCTGTTTGCTGTTGATCTGTCATCTTAAGAATAAGCTTGAGGTTTCTTTGCTACTTAACCTTTGACAAAACACTTGTCTGACATGAAACGACAACCTTCTACAACCACACAAAGCCCTAATGCTCACCCTAATGAGACCCAGAGGATGATTTAGCATCCTCACTTTTCTGTCAACACTAGACAGCTGCCAGCACAGCTCGAATAACCAGCCAACACTGCCACTGAAGCCACGGTGCATGAGGTGTGACACTGATGCACATCAATGGCACTCTCTCACATGTATCTACATGCTTTACAAACCGTTCTGGGAGAAAACAGGCAAAGCATTTAATATACACATTATTGGTTATATTATTCACAATGAAGCCGGACACTTACCGGGAGAAAGCTGACCCTTTGTACAGCTGATCGGAACATCACGTGTCTGCAATCAGAGACGAGTGTCATAAGAGAAGACAATACAATGGTGCAAACAGGGTGGAGGAGAGGAAAGAGTCAACAAACACAGCTGAAACACTAGGCCTTAACAATAAGAATTCTTCTATTTGTTCAATCAGGCTGGTGCTTCAGATTTGCAATTGCTCTACTAATACTTTCATTGCCCCTGCATTTTGTTTTTCATTTTTGTTAGAAAGAATAATTCACAAAAGGAGTGAAATCATGTATTTCACACTATTTTGTGGAACTTTTACTGTTGCAACTCTATACTTCTACTTTTACTCAAATAACTAATAATTAAAGCGGTCGTCATGACATTGATTTAAGTTGATATTTGATTTTAACATGTTTCTTGAGATTCACTTATGTTAATAACTTTTTTGAAACGAAAAACAAAAAACAAAAAACAAACATTATATATATATATATATATATATATATATATATATATATATATATATATATATATATATATGTATGTATATCCCATTTTGGCCATTGATTGGGTAACTCAGGTCAGGGGTTCAGGTCAGGAAGCAGACAGACTGGCTAAACCGACCGTCTTCTAACTGTCTCATGTCACTGAGGTCAGATAAATCCCATTACACAGAGACTCTTTCACCGAGATATCATTATATAGAGAAAAAAACTCCCAAACCCATTTAAGGGTAAAAATTAATTGATGTTCAACAAATAAAAAACAGATATAATACAGATGAACAAATGATAAAGCTTGGGTTTCTGAATAATCTGTCCCTTACTTTAAAAGCACTCATTGTTAATGATATGATTACCAGTGTTGGGAGTAACGCATTACAAAAGTAATACATTACTGTAACATATTACTTTTTGCTGTAACGCAGTAGTGTAAGGCATTACTAATCAATTTTCAGTAATATTTTACTCGTTACATGTTCAGTGAGGCTTGTATACAGTTGTATTACAGTGTATTGTCTGCTTTTACTTCTTAAAAGGCAACAGACTATGTAAAAGTTTTAAAGCAGTCTTTTAGTGCCAGTTCAGAGCGGTCGCGTCTGTAACATTGTTTTTTCCTCATAAATGCGAACACGAAAACTAAAATAAAATGAATATTTTAAGGTTCTATGGAGACTGGAGAGCCAACCCTTCCTCATCCGATTTGCGCAGTGTAATTAACAGAATTACAAAAAATATATTTTGCCTCCTATTTTTTTGTCACGCATGAATGTGTGTCTTTTCCCTAATATTAAAAATAAAACATAGACTGATATTTGTCTAATGTCTGGAGTCCTTTAAGGAAGTAGCCTATATACGTTTCAATACATGTATTTTCTGAGAATTTTTATTTCAAGTTTTGACTGCAAATGTCATGTCCATAATGCTGGACTTCCCCAATTTTCAATAATTTATCCTCAACTAGTTTTGTGGTTAACTTCAAATGTTAACTTCAAATAATACTAATAGCCTAATTTAAAGATAAGGCAGCATTGGATATGGACGGTAAGGAGAATAACGCTGGGAGTTGGAAGAGGTGTGTTGCGATTCTGTAAGTCGTGTGGTGAATCGCGATTTCGGTTTCATATTGCATATCGTTACAGCCCAAAAGTTAAGTTCTACTTAGTTATTTTGGTGAAAGTAACTCAAAAGTAATCCATGAGTAATGTAACGCATTACAATTCTGAGACAGTAATATTGTAAGGTAATGAATTACTTTTAAATAACAGTAACAAGTAATACCTAATGTATTACAGTTTGGAAGTAACTTGCACAACACTGATGATTACAGATTATAACCTAAATGTGCTGTGTTTAACAGAAACCTGGCTAAAACCAGACGATTACATTACTTCAAATGAGTGCACCCCCCAAGATTATTGTTATAAACATGAGCCTTGTCTGAAAGTTAAAGGTGGAAGTGTTGCTGTAATTTATAATTGTCACAAACTGCTCTGAGACACAAAGGTTGTGGATTCAAATGCAGTATTTATTGAACAAGGTAATCCAGTGGTCACATGCTTTTTCTGCTGCTGCGCATTGGGGGTGGTGATGGTGCAGAGTGGATAAGACCCAATGCCGTGTGAGAGACCCGGGTCCAAATCCACGGCGAGACACCAATGTGTCCCTGAGCAAGACACTTAACCCCTAGTTGCTCCAGAGGCGTGCAATCTCTGACATATATAGCAATTGTAAGTCGCTTTGGATAAAAGCATCAGCTAAATGAATAGATGTAAATGTAAATGTAAAATTTAAAAGTAAATTTAAAAAAAGGTTATTTTAACACAGTGTGCATTCTCAGAAAGCCTCTGGTTCCCATCACCAATGAAACCATCAACTTATTTCCGACTCTGATATACTTCTGAAGTGTGTCCACAGACGGTTTAAACTGGACGTGTCAAAGCGAACGTAGACAAAGAACAGAAATAACTGAGGATTTATGTACACAAGATGACAAGCTAAATGAAGGACAGGTGTAGGTGATTAGTTGTTATGCTAACAAACAAGGGCTGCATTGGAAACTAAGGGTAAGTTTACACAACAACGATACGCTTAAAAAAGAGACGTTTTACTATGACTTTTCCGTGCACAGACAACACTATTGTCAAAACGATTCCCATTTACACGGATCCACAAAAAACGACTAAAAACCCTGTGTTCTGCTGCCAGGCCATTAGATGGAAATGAAACACTATAGCCTGAAGAGGTAGCCTAATACACATGTGGCATGACGTCATCATTTTCAGAGATTTGCCAGAGATTTTTGTTGTTTTCATGGAGACCGTTTTTAAAAGTTTGCATTTTCAGGCACCCAAAACTCCTTGAGAAGGGTGTCGTGTAAATAGGACCATCCTTATTGTTGAGGCCAGTATTAAAGCATCTGAGAGCTATTCTGTGAACTGCCTGAAGAAACTGAGAATGAGATGGAAGAACATCTCCGAGCTGCACTGTGTGACGTTCTCTGACTTGCAGTGTGTGAAAGCGTGCTGAGTGTGAGGCCTACTCACTTGCAGGGTGATTTGGGGACAGGCTTCTCCATAACATCATAATGACCGGGAGAGAGGTTAATATCCTGCGTTAAACACACACGCACAAAACTACATCAAACTATTGTTTTGACATACTCACTCATAAACTCAAAGGTGAAAGCTTAACTCCAGCCACTGATAGCAGATAAATAGTTTGCTTTTTGTTTTTAGTATAAGTCATCAAAAAAACATTAAACTACATTAAACTTATTTGTAGGTGTGAGCGGGGCAAAATAATGTGGGTCGAGTTGTAACACACATGGTTTAAAACTTTCCACTCATGCTAGCATGACGGCTATACTATTTTTTTGCCAAAATTCAATGCCCAAAAAAAAAAAAAAAAAAAACAGTGGAAGATATCACTGAACATTACTTTAAACAAAAGAACATTTTTTACTTAGACAAATCTGAAATTATCTTAATATAATTTATTTCACAGTTAGTTCTTTAATGGTGATCTAACCAGCATAAAAAAGGGTTTAAATCCCAGTTGCGCAGGTGGGGAACGTTGTAACACCGCTTTACAATGTGCCCTATTAGAACTGTGCTATTTTCTATTGAGTTCTATTGAGAAATCATAAAACGATTAATAAAGACTGAGTCAATTTCATAAATTATTGATTATTATTATTTTACATGAAAAGGTTAATAATTGTATTTTATTGACCAAATATTTTAGTTAGTATTTTTTTTTTTTTTTTTTAGATCAGGTAACATTTTAAGCTGTCATATATGGTCATGTTGACAATATGCCCCACCTATGGGGCATGTTGTCACATTTCACTGCCATTCTTTTGAGGTAAATCAAGAAAAAAGTAAACACTCTATAAATGACACAAAAACCCCAATTGTGCTAGAAGTGAGAAATTAATGTGGGAAAAAATAAATTATCTAAAAGTGGATTTACACAAACCGAGAAAGCCAAAAAGTGTAAGGTTGTGCCCCGCTCTCCTCATCATATGGAATATAAGACAGAATGTTGAACTGACCACAAGGCACCTTGCATTTGTATGCCTATAATATATCATTGTGATTAACTGACCTTATCCCTGAGGCCTAAAGTGAGGTTGTCAGGTCTGGGGCAGTTTTTGAAAGAGTAAGTTGCCTGGCGTCGCAGAGCCTCATTGGTTGAGTCAGTAAAGTTATACGCCCCGGGCAATAGCAGATCCCCACCTCGACGCACAGTCCACATGAGTGTGTCTCGCGCAGGGCCTTTGAAGCTGTACGTCCTCGGCACCGGGTTGAGTCCTGTCTCCTCTATGAAGTCACGGATGTGGTAACTGCCTGGAATGGGATAGTTCTGATGGTAGAAAGAGCTCTTTTATGCCTGTTTACTATCACTGAGTATGTCCTTCAGTAACAGCCAAAGTATAAAATGGTTATTGAGAGAAGTCATTGTTCATTACAACACACTTAAACATATCATCTGGACTAAAAGCATAATGATGAATAAGATTAAAGTGCATTTTCATAATGCATATTTTTTCATTACAAATATAGGTTGTAGTTGAAGCTGTGGTTACACATTGCTTATGTAGGCGCATTGTGAAAGCAGTAACCTGTTAATATGAGAAGCAAGATAAATTCAAGCTGCTTTCATGTGCGGTGTGAAACAGGCCTTGTTTTATAAGACAGAAGCTATTTGTTCACCAAAAGTACACTTCATATTCATATTCACAATTCGTGTTACTTTTACTTCTATGACTGGATCTTTTGTAAAATATCACCTGCCTTAATAGTGTTTCTCCACCAACCACTTCTGTCAGTAAAGGCTTCTTCTTTTTGTTTCTGAAAAGAAGAAAAAAGACCACTGATCACCATTTGGGGTTCGCAAGATTCTGTTGTGTTCACCCAAGACAGTAATATTGTAAAAAGCAGTAATATTGTAAAATATTATAACAATATGTTTTTTAAATGTATATATATATATATATATATATATATATATATATATATTAATGTAAGTATTCCTGTGATGGCAAAGCTGAATTTTCATCATCATTACTCCAGTCTTCAGAGTCACATGATCCTTTAGAAATCATTGTAATATAATGATTTTGTGCTCAAGAAACATTTATAATTATCATCAATATTAAAAAAAAAGGATTATTTGAAAACTAGAAAGATTAAAATAATGCATTTATTTGGGAGAAAAATATCATATCATTATAAATATCTTTACTTATTAAAAATAATAATAATCTTACCGGCCCTTAAACCTTTAAATGGTTGTGTCAAAAATAGGTGCAGAAGATCACTGCACTATATAGAAATAGCACTTGTGTAATTCATATGCACCAATCTTCCACCACACAAATGTAAAAACTTACCCCATCTATACATTTCCCTTTGGGTAATGTTTTCTCTCTTCCCATGGCCATAGTTCTGTCGTTCCTGTTTGTTTTCTGTAACGGACACCTCAACAACAAGAGGCGTCGCTTAGATACTAAAACTATTTAACTATTAATCGAGAGTACTGGATACACGAGTTTCAGCTATTTGTTTGCTTTTGTATTTATTATTTACATTTAGTGATTTTGTTACACATTGAGAAAAAAAATAGTTTGTTCATCAAATTCTCTGATCAACAATATAAATGTACAATATGAACTCAAGACACCTCTTACAAATGTTTTCTGAGCTGCTATCCACAATTATTGTTGTACTGTATACATGTGTCTGTATTAAATTAAACTTCAAATTAAAGTTCTAAAAAAAAAAAATCTCCCCAGCTTTAAAAGGGATTGCGACAAGATAAAGGGAGTTTTTTTTTTAATAATAATGTGTTGTATGCAAGAGGCATGTGACATCCATTTGTAAGTGTTTGACACAGATGAATAGCACAGCAGAAGCAGTGAGAGCCTCTCTCTGGGAGTTTATGGCAGAATGTTCTGCTGTTTCTAGGAGACCAGGAACACATGCTTCTAACAAGCAACTGAAGGGCCCAGTGTTCTGTTTGTCAGAGCCGTCTCCTGTACCAGTGCACTTCAATACCATGAATAACCAAGCCATGCTTCAGTGTACCGCTGTCATTGTAATAAACTCTTGAAAAAAAAAAAAAAAAAAAAAAAAAAAAACCTCATATACTTTTGTTCTGGATTGCCTGAAATGCACACCTAACGTGGAGAAGTGCATGAATGATACTTTATAGCTGTGTATCAACTATATTATAACTAATACTATGTCTTTGTACAGCATAAATAATCCAAAACCAACTATTCTTCAATAAATACAGCCAAACTTCTGAACAGAACAGATGTATTCTCACAAGGAAAAGGATGACGTTTACAACGATTGTCATTCAAGATTACTTTAATGAGCTTTTTATTTTTGACAGAGGCCTCGCCCCAATCCAATCCTGTGAACACATAGCACTTTGTCCAGCTGACTCAGAGACGCATCGTATAATGATGTACAAATAAATAATCTGAACCATTACAATAAATAGAGTAAACAACTCTATTAAGTAAAATAGTTAGCGATTTCGAACTTACAAAAACCAGCTCTGGGATGCATGATTAACAGAGGGGCGTTAAATCAGAGGGCTAAATGATGCTTCGCAAACAAAGAAACTTTTCATTATGGGTAAATAGTCAAATTTTATTGGAAAACAAATATACAACTTGGAATGGACTATCTGAGGCATGACAATGCCATTAAGCGGCTTTAAAAAAAAAAAGTAAAGAAAGAAAAAAAAAAGTGAATAAGTGATTAAAACATTAAAAAGCACTGTAAGATTCAAACAAGTTCTTAGTATAGAACAGCAGATACAAAAAGAGTTTATGTACGAGTATCTTGTAGATACACCCGTGTCTTTTTCTTGTTTTTTTTTTTTGCAGTAGTGCAATGCTGAGAAATTTCATTATATTATATATATATATTTATATATTATATATAATATACTTTGTCCATAGTCCATGCAGAGTTACTCCTCTACATTGTTGCCGTGCCAGCGTCGCTGCCAGAAGACAACCAGCTGGCAGGTCTCCACTCTTGCTACGCATGAGGGGGGCAGACAGACGTGACGTGTACGTTTTTGCACATCACAACCCCCTCTTCACGGCAACAAGCACCTGACCGTGTAACCGCACCGCCACTCCAAAAACACGATGACAGCAAAAGAAAGGGACATGAGGACTGAAGATCCTATGCAGTTTACATGCAGTTCCTTTGGACAGCCGGGAGGAGGAAGGGGAGGGGACTTAACATTTTACAGATAAATTAAACAGAAAAAAGGCAAATTATTTATAGAAGAGAGAGGATCTGTACAAGGCCTTCATTTCGCCGTCATCATCTGTACAAATTCTGTGGAGACATAGAACGGGTTAGTCCATTTCTGAACGAGGACAAGATTTCTTACATGAACACAAGATGCACCCCGACACCATATCCTAAACCAGCCACGAATGCGCCGCCGAGTGACATTTTGTTGGTTGCTTGGACTCTTAGTGATCCAAAAAACCCACTCCGCATAAACAATATTTGTGTTCTGATGATTGTGCGTTTTATTCCTGCAGGACACGATCGAACAGACAATGAGTTCCAAAACAACTTTTCAGTCAACTCACCTTCGTAGTTAACCTGTCCGTCTCCGTCAATGTCTGCTTCCCGGATCATCTCGTCAACCTCCTCGTCGGTCAACTTCTCTCCAAGGTTTGTCATGACGTGACGCAATTCAGCTGCGCTGATGTAGCCGTTGCCATCCTGAAGCACAAGATATCCAGGTCATTGACTGCACCTGACTTTGTGTGGCACTATTTTGTGGAGCTAAACAAGCTTTACCTTATCAAAGACACGGAATGCTTCTCTGATCTCCTCCTCGCTGTCAGTGTCCTTCATCTTCCTCGCCATCATGGTCAGGAACTCGGGGAAGTCTATCGTCCCATTTCCTAAGCAGAAAGCGAAAGAATTCAGACAAAGCCCAAATTTTGCCAGTCACTTGGGTTGAGGATGCACTTACCATCAGCGTCCACTTCATTGATCATGTCTTGCAGCTCGGCCTCTGTCGGGTTCTGTCCGAGCGAGCGCATGACGGTGCCCAGCTCTTTGGTTGTGATGGTGCCATCGCCGTCCTTGTCAAAGAGTGAGAAAGCCTCTTTGAATTCTGTGAAGGGTGACAAATAAATGGAATAGGATCTTGTATTAACAGAGTCTCCCAAAGATAAACACTGAACACACACAGAGGAACCAGTGGGGGCAGTTCCAAAGAAGACTTCCCTTCAAATACACTTTACACACTCACTTTCAAAACAAGCTCTTTCAGACATTAATGCAAAAGAAGCTTGAACTCAACCATAAAGTAAACTAAGATTGACCTATTGATCTATTTTAACACGCTTCCAGGTCTTAATGAACGAATAAATCAGTGCCTGATTTCTAAAAGAACAACAACAACAAAAAAAACATTACAATATTTTATTAAAATGCAATAGCTATGAAGCTACTCTGCTTTTACAGTGCAAACCAATTAGCAACATGTCCTGGCGTACCTCTCGAAACCACAAGAGCACGACAGGTAGGCAGTTGTCCTTACTCATAATAATGCTGTAGTCTGTAATTACCTGTTTATTACACAAGCCACACAGGAAAAACATGTGACACCCAAACTAGAACAGGCTTGAACAACTACAATGGACAGAGTCATGGATCTAAAAAGAAATGGGACATCTGTTTATGTAAAAACACCACTGGCTGCCCTCACATAAATGAAACCTTACCCTGCTTCTATGCAAACTATCAACTCAGAGGCACCGTTTCTATGGAGATCCAGCACTGTGACCTCACTCTGTTCCTATGGAGACCCACTGAACCATATGGAGATCCAGTGCTGTGACCCCATTGTGCAGATGTAGGATCTAGATTTCAGAGCAGTATGGAAACACTGCTGTGACCTCACACAATCTCCAGGGAAACACACTTTGGAGACTATGTCTCGATGGATAAACCACCATGACCTCACTGTCGCTATGGAGACAGACCACAATGACCTAAATGGTATCAGAGCATTTCTGTTTGAGGTTCTTTACTGTAATAGCACAACCATGATCAGAAACATTAGTCAAAAAACAGTTGATCCTGAAAGTGTAAGGTTTTCATATTACTTTTCTTCCAAAGTATCCAAAATAACATTAATCTTGCATGGTGGTCTTTGCACACAATACCAGAAATATGGATCTCAGATCACCTAAAATGAAACAAATATTCTGTTGTCATAACACAATACTAACATGTGTATGCGACTACATTAGAGACAAAGAGATAAGTGCACCCCTATGAACACTATAGAAACCATCGAAATTACCCAAAACAACAAGGAAACAAATTATAAAGATATCAAGAGCATCACGTCCCAAAAAAGTAACGCATATAAGTCCATCATGAGCAAAAATCTGCAATATCATGTCAGAAATTACTCCAGCAGCCAATAAAACTGTAACTTCACGTCGAAGCCATTGATATTGAGCAGGGGACACACCCTTGTTCCTCAGTGCCTGCAGTTACTAACGCTCTCCAACAGAGAAGTGTGTGTTCACCGAAAACTACATCTAGCCCCAGGAAATTACTCAGTCACTTAGTTTTAAAGCCTGGCGTTACACGCTTCCCACCACAACAGCATGTCCATTAATTTGAGGAATGTGTCCCGACCAAGTCTCAGGGCCTGCCATAAAAGGAAATAATATAAATCCACAGAGAGAGAAGGTGGGGGGGTAAAGGGGGGGGAACCACGGGAATCCACACCACTGCCCATGTGCCAATAGAAGGAAGGTGGGAATGTCTTACCGGCAATCTGTTCTTCTGTCAACTGGTCGGCCTGCAGCGAAAAAGAGAAGACGTAATGATGTATATGAAGCACTGGTGGAAACAAATCTAATCATTTAGGAATCAACCATTAAAGCCATATTGGTCTACCATTAAATTAAATATTGGTGGTGACATGTCGAGGGGTTTAAAACCTAGGCATCATAAAGGATCAGATTCACTTCTATTTAAAGGAACAATTCTCCCCAAAAATGTCATGTTGGACAGAATGACAGCCTCAGTCTCCATTCACTTTCATTATGGGGGGAAACAGATGGAACTAAAGTAAACGTCGACTGAGTCTGTCAGTACCGAACATCACCTTTTGTGTCCTAAAGAATAAACTCAACTAGCTGTATGGGTTTGAAAAACATGAAGAATAAATGACATTTTCATTTTGTGGGTAACTTTCCCTTTAATGCTAACTGTAAGGTGGCGCAGTCACTTCTCCACCGCTCATAAAAGTCTTTGTACTGCTTTATTCATGAGAAGAACATTGAATTAAAGAATAACAGACGTCCAATGCTTTCCATACGCGTGTTTGATAATGAGCACATATTGAAACATAAGCGTGTGCAAGAGAAATGCGCCATACTTGCAGCTGACGTGCCCCTTAACTGTATTGGCTATCAATGAAGCTTTTGAAATTATTTCATGTAAGGTACAGCAAGATAATTGAATATTTAACTGACATTCCCCAATGGAATTAAGTTAATACGCATATAAAACACAAAAAGAAAACTACCAGTCATTAAACCATAACAATCCCATACATTCAATGAAAAATAATGTAACGTTATGCATATAACTATTCATTACCAACGAACTGTATACTGACTGTAGCGCTCATTATTTTATATTTATTCTATAATAACTACATTTTGCACCAAATAAACAGTCATATTAACACATAACAGTTTTTACTCACCATCGCGATATTTTAACAGATGTATTTCCACACAGAACAACAGTCCGCAGCTGGCAAACAAACAGGATGCAATCATACAGTGCTTGACGCGCCTTTAATGGTCGCTTATAAACCCCTCCCCCTGTTTTATCTAAATCCGCCAACACACTTCCTTCCCTATCAGAAACGATCGTCAAAATTGTCACAATTGTGATGAGTAAGCGAACAGTAAAGAGTACCGTGGATTTTATACGATATCGACGTCTTCAAATCGCAAAAATGTATGCTTTGCAGCGAAGGCGGGCTTGTTTTGAGTGGAACTAGCTAACCGGACTAGCGGAGTCATACATTCTGCTAAAGTGTGATGCGTCAATCGCAGTACTAGACGTTATGGCAAGGAGAGGCGGCTTCTGATTGGTCCATTTGTACCCGCAATGCGTCACTCTCCAAGATCCGAGGAGAGCTGCATTCCCGACTACTAGACTCAATCACTACACACATCAGGGTCAGATATTAACCAGGGCTCAAGGCGGGAATGCCATGGGGGACAAATGTGCTACTATTTAAAATATTTGGGCAAAAAATGTCCCTGAAGTACATTCTTAATTTGTTAATCTGTTATGTGATATTTGATATATTTAATATTGTCTAGGCCTATAAAATTTTATATATATATATATATATATATATATATATATATATATATATATATATATGTGTGTGTGTGTGTTAAGGTGCTGGATGGACTCTATGGAATCATGTCCAGTACTGTGTAGTAGCCTACAGTACTACAAAATGCTATGGAAACCGCTCCTTGAAAGTCAATCCCCAAATAATGCTCATCAATAAATAATAAATTAAATTATTAATAAATTAATTACAAAAAACACTGATTTCAAACATTTCTGACACTGCAATGCACATTAAGCAAGTGAGATTCATAAAAACAGTATGCATTTAAGCATCAAGTGATCTAAGAAGTGTTTAGAGGTTTTTTGTTTTTATTTTGATGATGCTATCGAAGCAATTAATAGCAATAATAATAAAGCAAATTATTTGTTATAATCATTATGCAAGAATCTCACCATATATTCAGGATTGGCAGGACCAAATGCAATAAATTATTAATTTAACATATAAATATTGTGGGGTACATGCCACTCTCAATATTTGTTACACCATGCAGAAAAATTTACTTAATGGACATGCTGGACATTACGTGTAATATTATGCCTTGAATGCAATCGATGAAATAAAACAAATGGTTGACCCGCTCTCGCTCTGTTAAACGGATTTAAACATTAGTTATGGAGTGCAATCCACTTAATTTCTTCATCAGATTGATTTGGCAAGGCTGGCCTGCAAGCTTTACAGAATGTCTGCCTCTTATACGACAAGAAGAATAAAACATTTAGAAGCCCCCGTGATGATTCAGATCCCATTAATACTGTACATGAATCACCTGAAGTATAGGACAATTTGGCTTGATTGCAATTAAACCGAACGATTTTGGAGACATTTCGTACACTGTATTTGATCCATAGTTCGTCATAACAGGTTATGCACTGACAGTGACTGTATGTTTTTGGCGTGTTGTGTGCTTGCAGTGGAGTGTAACATCAGCTGATACAGGCTCATATAGCGATATGTCAGATGTGGCATAAGGAGCAGCAGGTTTGTGGGCACACGTACAGTAGATGCAATGCCTGTATGTACTCACTGAATGCATGAGTATCTGATGGCCTGCTTCTCTATGCTTGGCTGCCTGGCTCTCTCTCCCACTGGCCACCTGTCTCTGGACCAAACCCAGTGAAGTTGCAGGTGGGAGAGTGTGGAAACTCTGGGGTCAGTTTAAGAATAACACAACAGGCTCCAGTTCTCGCAGCAAAATAATGTGGGATTGTGGGTTCATTTTTGGCCCATGCAATAAAAGTCAGTGCGGTCTAGTGTTGTTTTGGACACCGCTGATTTTCGCTAAATAGTCAAAATATTTGTTCTATGTTGTTGAGAGTGATTAAATCATGAGAATTTTCAGTTTTGGGTGAACTATCCCTTTAGACTGACCGCAGTGTGTTCCCAGATTGCACAGTTAACGTGAAATCGTTGATTCGTAAATGGATGCAAACATTCACGCACAAACAGGAAGCATATCATCCGCACCCAGCCATATGCACAAACACACACACACACACACACACACACACACACACACACACACACACACACACACACAAGCGCACCATTTAGAGATCCTTATAAGTAACTGCTTCAGTGTCCACTTGGCACTTGCCACCGTCTCTGCAGCCTAATCCTCAACACAGTGGCGTCTATTCATTCAAATCTGCTTTTCTTCACTGGGATTGCAACTCATAGAGAAGATTATTCGACAAAGAAAGGAGAAACATCATAAAGGGCCTTGCTATTAATCACAAGGGGGAGATAAGCTGGATTCAGACTGAGCATAAATGAACGGTCTTTAAGAAGAAGAAACAAACATGTTTGTGACAATGGCTGCAAGTTAGTGTGTACAAAGGCTTTCTGTGTAAATTATCTTTTGTTAAATGTAGATGTTGTAAAGTTAAGATGTAATCATCCATCGCTTTAAATCTTCTAAAAAAAAAAGCTGCTACCTCCATAGGTCTCTCTCAGAAAAACCATGTTTTATAGGTCAGACATAAACATAGAGTTTAAGTAATGAGAAAATACCTAAATGGAATCGGTCCTTGAAATCACCTCGATTAGTCAGTGATTAGTCAACACAGTTTTTCAACATTGCTAAAACTCATGATAAGTCTTTAGATTACCAAGATGGATCCCACATGGGAGAAACTGCAACATGCAACATGGTGGATGGAGCCAATGGGTAAAGTCATTTTGGTGCATTATCTGCAGAGAATGGGCTGTTATCTGCTAGAAATTATAAGCTTTTGAACTCTATGTTATAAGAAACAATCCAAGACAATTCAAGTCAATCTTTTTTAATGTTGTTTTACAGAGCCTTACAGTTTTTTTTTTGTTTTTTTTGTGTGTGTTTGAGGGGGTGGGGGGTGGTGTTATCGTATAGCAACGAATGAATAATGAGTTCCCACGTTTTATTAATTTGTGTAATAATTAATATGTTCATTTTAAGTAAACTGTTGCCAACGTACCAATTCATTCATTTTTTTTCTGTTAAATTGTAACATTTTTTTTCTGTTAAATTTTTTCTGTTGAATTCTGTTAAATAAATCTGTTAATTTTCTGTTAAATTTTTCTGTCAAATTAGTACATTGTGGCAAATTGAACAAAATAGCACAATTGAACTAAAACGATTGAACAAATAATGTGCAGGGCTTCATGTTATAAAAAAACAAAACAAACAAACAAAAAACAGTTGCTCAAAATAGCAGTTTGAAGTTCTTGCTCCTTTCTTAGAAAAGGACTAATAGCAATTATCACAGAAAAAACAGCTGATTGATATTTTTTGCATTGTTATTTCAGGGATTATTAATTCTAGCGAAAAGATGCCACTGAATTTGTTAACGCATGCATGAGTGTCTTAATTAACATATTTAATGGAATTTTTATCTTTAAAATTTTTTTTGCTTTGTTTTCATTAATCACATTTTTTATTTGTCTTAGTTTCCCACCAGTCATCTGTTGTATGGACTCTCATTTAATCATCATCTGTTCATTATCATCTCATTATCACGGTGTACTTATTTTGCTCTGTTTGATTTTTCAGGTTGCTGTTGTTTGTGCTGGACACACTGTCTGTACACAACGCCTGATTACCTGCTTACTTAATAAACTTCATTTATCATTTTTCATTAAGTCTTCATCATCGTGACACACTCAAGGTTGTGCTGATTTGTGAATATTATAACTTAGCTGCTAACAACTGTTTTTAATGCGACTTATCGTATACTTTTCTTTTCAAATTTGTATTTGAAAATTTGAATGTCCTGTTTCTGGATTCTGATTGGTCAACACAGCATTCCATTGCATCATTCCCCATAGAGACCAATAATTGATGTCAGGGACTATATCTTTGAATGGATTTATTTAATAAAATAAAGATTTGGTGAAAATTCACTTACAGTTGCGATGAAACGGAAGTAGCCAATTTTCATTCGTATTGTGATGTACAAGTCAAACAAATTATCGTATAATATAATTATGTAGGCAGGGACTTGGTCCTATCAATTGGCTTTAAGCACAGCTGCACTACTTCCTGAACTTCAGCCAGCTCCTTTGTTTTCTGTCTGCCATTATTGGACAAACTGATGAATCCAGTTGGCCAGATGTGTCCAGGTGTGTCTGATTATTGTTGTTGTGAGTAATGAGGTCAGTCACACCTGGATTAATCAGTTTTTCCAATAATGGCAGACAGTAGACAAAGGAGCTGGCTGAAGTTCAGGAAGTAGTGGAGCTCTGCATAAAGCCAATTGGTTGTTGATTAGTTGAAGGCTTGCAATTTAGTTGTAAGAAAGGAGTGGGTTTATTAGAAGGGTGTATTTGAAGTGCAGCATACATGACGAGTGAGTTATTGACAACAAATTTTGTTTAAAAAAATGATTATTTACTTCAAGATTATTATAAAATAGATATTGTGAAATTTCATTTCATGCTGACTCTAATAGGCCTATAAAAAATAGTCATGACGGAAAGGGCTGCAGGCAATCTGTCGCTGTGTGAATCAGTGACTCTATTCATTACTGTCTGAAGATAAAATAATTATAAATAAAAATCTAATAATATCTGTCAAAGTTATGCTTTTGAGAGCAATATTGTCATGAAGGAGCCAATTGTGGGTGTTACGAATTCAAATCTCGTGCTATTTCAAGTGAATCTAGTGAGCAGTGAGCATGTTTGAAGGTAAACCTGCATGACGTGTTTGCCCTACAATCGTTTTGGGTAGTGCATGAGTGATGGTACCATACGTGGGCAGGAGTGTGAAGGCAAGGCGTTTATGTACATACTTCTCTAAATGTGTTGTTCTCCTCAAATGACTCACTCTTCCCTGTTTTTCAAGCATATTTTTCACTCAGCGCTCAAATCTTTTCTTGTAAAGCATGTAAAACTGTGGCACTTTAATGAAAGGAGGCTTTATCTGCATTAGAACATTCCAGATCCTTCCAGATCTAGAGCTCAAAAGACAACCCTCATACCTTGAGCGTTAATAGGCAAGTCAATGCAAGTTTATACAGGGCACGGCATTCAAAAGACATTGCAGAAAATATCCTCTTTACAGGAAATATGCCGCAGACTT